CTAGACATAATCTAGACAACCAAGACATAATCTAGACAACCTAGACATAATCTAGACAATATATATATATATATATATATATATATATATATATATATATGCATGTATGCATGTATGTATGTATGTATGTATGTATGTGAAATAAGTATATCCAAAAATCAAAGTGTGATGTCATCACCCGTTCAAATTAACTGTAACTCTAACCGTAACCATTACACCTAACCAAAGGCTTTAAAGCAACATGGTCTACGTGGTTACTTTAATTTATAACGGCATCCTGACAAAAGGCCGACATGGACAAAAGGCCGACACAGACAAAAGCCGACAAAGTCAAAAGACCGACAAGACAAAAGGCCGACAAGACAAAAGGCTGACAGCCAAAATGCCAACATCCAAGAGGTCGACAAGACAAAAGGCCGACAAATTTTATAAAACAACTACAATTACAGACATGTTTAATTTTTTTTATTGAGAACCAGTTACATAATGATAAAGGTAGATGGTTGTGTGACGTCATGTCCGGTTTCTTGCTACTGTTTGTTCTGTGGTGAGGAAGACAAAAACTGATGCTCAGCAATATCCGATTCAAAGCTGAGTTGTACATGTTATATATATATATATATATATATATATATATATATATATATTATATATATATATATATTATATATATATATATATATATATATATATATATATATGCATGTATGCATGTATGTATGTATGTATGTGAAATAAGTATATCCAAAAATCAAAGTGTGATGTCATCACCCGTTCAAATTAACTGTAACTCTAACCGTAACCATTACACCTAACCAAAGGCTTTAAAGCAACATGGTCTACGTGGTTACTTTAATTTATAACGGCATCCTGACAAAAGGCCGACATGGACAAAAGGCCGACACAGACAAAAGCCGACAAAGTCAAAAGACCGACAAGACAAAAGGCCGACAAGACAAAAGGCTGACAGCCAAAATGCCAACATCCAAGAGGTCGACAAGACAAAAGGCCGACAAATTTTATAAAACAACTACAATTACAGACATGTTTAATTTTTTTTATTGAGAACCAGTTACATAATGATAAAGGTATATTACAAAATAATAAAAAAATAGGGCCTAGTATAACAAATATCAAATGTAGTGTTTCTTTTTAACAAAAAAAAACTTACCAATTTTGGCACACTTGTACCACAATCACGTCACAATTAATGAATCCAACGAATATAGTATAAACTTTTTTCACGCAATTCGCAATGGACGAACTAAAATATAATTCAAAGTTTGTCGGTATTTAACACGTAGTCCAGTCAAGGCACGTGATCGTTCTACTTCATTTGGTAACACCAGCTATTTGTTCAGCCTTTGTACATCCCCGTCATCTCCATTCGCATTGTACCAACTAGCATTGTCTCTTGGCGTTCCAACTAAATGAATGTGGGCGATGCTGCGACGGCTTTTGACTCGGTTCTTTGATGATTGTCTCACCTCGTTGACATAGTAAGAGCTATAAAAGACAGTAATGGCCGCAATTTGCAATATTTAGGTGTTGATCCTTTGTGTTTAAGACACCCACGTAATCTCCAGTCGCTTGGAGCCGATGCTTCACCTTATTAGGATAGCAACTAGCATCGTCTCCTCTCTTGAACGTTTCACCTTATTTCATGCCTTATTTTGATGGTTTTCAATATAGCAGCTATGCAGTAACACATATTTTGCAATATTATTATTTTTTATGTTTGTCGGCCTTATGGTCTGTCCGCCTATTGTCTGTCGGCTTTATGTCCTGTCGGCCTTTTGGCTGTCGGCCTTTTGTCCTGTCGGCCTTTTATCCGTGTTGGCCTTTTGTCTTGTCGGTCTTTTGGATCTCGGCCTTTTGTCCTACACCCATTTATAAGACTTATATTACATACGACCTCATTAACACTTGACCCAACATTGACAATTATAATAATTAATGCATTTTGTAAGTTTATTGACCCATAAAATTACCATAGATCTCAAAACCTAAATTGCCTTCGAAGCTCAAACATCCTAACATAGCAGTTGAAGTGAACCATTTCCAAAGTCAATTAACGCGAACGCTACTATGTTTTCTCTATTTAAACCTAAAGCGGAATGACGCAATGTAACCCAAATTACCAGTGAATAATTATATTAACATTTTACAGAATCACATTTTGTGTTAAAATAATAAAAGTTTATTAAAAAAAAAAAAATTTGGGATGGCATGGTCAAATGCTAGCCCGAAAGTCTCGAGTTCGGATCTCAGTTCAGACTTGTGACTGTATGACTTCCCTGAGTCCACCCAGCTATGATTGGGAACCTGACTTAGGTTGGGGATAAAAAAAACGGCGGCTGCGCATAGTGCTGACCACAGCATCCCTTTGAATGGCGAGGTCAAGAAACATATGAAAGAAATCTACTTCATCTGCTAAATGAATCCCTAGGTTGAAAGAGGAATCTTTACTTTTTTAAAAATAAATTAAAGTTCTCCTTTC